TTCTTCCTCCTCCTTTCCTCCAACCCTCAGCTCCCCCATATGTTTCCCCTCCTCTAGGGCTCCCCTTCTGCTGGTCCTGTTTACTCAGCCGGCCACACAGAGCTCCAGCTAAGGGCTTTAACTCTCTGTCTCTGCCGTGTGCCCCATTAATCTGGACCGTGGTACCTGCGTGTCCCAGTATGTAATAAACAATTTAGAGCACAGTCTTATGGATTCAGCTATATCAGCAGCCTTCAATCCGATCACGTTTTATGGCACCTACATGAGACTTTTATATTGTGGCAATTACTTTGCTTTATTTGCTTCCTTTCTCTCTCCCCCTTCATTTTACTTTATTCTGTACATTTTATTCCCATTCCTCTCAGACCCTTTTCCGACAAGGCCTGGAGTCCAGTCCAAGGGCTGTCCATGGTGGGCCAGAGTTGTTGTGGGGTCAAGGTCTCAGCCACAATATGCCCTCCCTGATCCCATAAAGGACACCCTATTGCTATCACCCCAGGGTCCTGTAAATCAGTGTGGCCTGTTACCTCCAGCACCTCTGGAAAGGGGCCAACTGGATAGATTTGTCATCAGAGAAAAAGTCCCCGGAGGTCGTATTTTCAGGCACCATGGAGCAGGTGTTGAGAGAATATTGGATTTTCTATCCCTAACAGACTTAGGCTGATCCATAACAAGGAGAACCTGGTCTCTCCTGAAGACACTGAAAGCAAAGACAACCAGTAGCCTCAGTGAGAACACATAGGGACAGTTTTTGTTTTTAATAAGGCCGATTCCTGGGAAGTTCTGTCAGATGTCAGGGACACTTTGGATTGCTTCCAGACCACTGCAATAAAACGAATCTCACAATGAATGGAGGCACACAAATTGTTTGGTGTCCCCATGCACATTAAAGTTCTGATGACACGACCCTTATCCCTGAAGTGTGCCATACTGGGGGTGGTTCTATGTCGTGGGGTCAGTTCCGACCCATAGCAACCTCACATAGGGTTTCCAAGGAGCAGCTGGTGAGCTTGAACCACCAAACTTGCAATTCAAATGACTTTGCAGTCAGGCACATTAACCCGCAGCGCCACACCAGGATTCCTGTTACTGCTATTGTTGTTGTTGTTGTTAAGTACCGTCGAGTAGGTTCCGATCCATAGCGACCCTGTATAGGGTTTCAGAGGAGCGGCTGGTGAGCTTGAACCGCCAGCCTTACACTTCAAACTGACTTTGCAGTCGGGCGCATTAACCCAGAATTCGAAGATGAAAAAGTTTGAAATTTTGTCAGAATGACCAACAAGGGACACCAAGACATGAACCAAGTGAGCACATGCTATTGGGGAAAATGGCACCAATAGGCATGTTCTATGCAGTGTTGCCGCAAATCTTTAATTTGTATTTAAAAAAAGAAAAAAGGTAGGGAAAAAAAACCAACCTTATCTACAAGGAGGGCAGGACCACAGAGCCGGAATGTGTGCCTGCCATTCCCATCACCTCCTCTAGGGGGATACAGTGAGTGCTCCAGTTCTGCTCATTCACTTGACAAACAGATCCCAGCTCCCTTGTTGTACCAGAGGCACTGTTCTCTGTACGGAGAAGTGGTGTGAGCAAGTCCATGACATCCCCACTTCTGTGGCATTATAGGATACGCACTAGACCACAAACTCAACAGCCGCTCCTCAGAAACCCTGTTCAGAGTTGCTGTGAGTTGGCACTGACTCAAAAAGGTGACCCAACGGAATGCGGAAATCATCAGACAATATCTTTGATATCTCATGAGAGTAAAGTTTTACTAAAGGTAAGACAGAAATGGCTGCAAGTATACATTGACAGAGACCTTCCAGAGGTTCAAGCTGGATTCAGAAGAGGCCATGGAACGACAGATATCACTGCTGATGTCTGATGGATCTTGGCTGGAGCAGAGAATATCAGAAAGATATTTACCTGTGCTTTATTGACTATGCAAAGGCTTTCAATTGTGTGGATTATGACAAGCTATGGACAACATTGCAAAGTGTGAGTATGTGCTCATGAGGAATCTGTACATGGATCAAGAGACAGTTGTTCAAACAGAACATGGGAACAACGGATGGTTTAAAATTAAGAAAGGTGTGCAACAGGGTTGTATTCTTTCACCATACTTATTCACCCTGTATGCTGAGCAAATAATCCAAGAAGCTGGGTTATATGAAGAAAAATGTGGCATCAGGATTGGAGGAAAACTCATTAACAACCTGCGATATGCAGATGATACCATCTACCTTGCTGAAAGTGAAGAGAACTTAAAATTCATACAGAAGAAAATCAAAGACCACAGCCTTTGGTATGGATTGCTTCTCAGTGTAAAGAAAACAAAAATCCTCACACTGGACCAATAAACAACATTCTTATCAACGGAGAAAAGATTGAAGTTGTCAAGGACTTCATTCTTCTTGGATCAACTATCAACACTCATGGAAGCAGCAGTCAAGAAATCAAACAACGTATTGCATGAGGCAAAAGTGTTGAAGAGCAAACCTGTCAGCTTGAGGACTAAGGTGCCCCTGACCCAAGCCATGGTGTTTTCATTAACCTCATATGCATGCAAAAGCTGAACAGTGAATAAGGAAGACCATAGAAGACTTGATGCTTTTGAGTTATGATGTTGGAGGAGAATATTGAAAGTACCATGGGCTGTCAAAAGAACCAGCATATCTGCATTGGAAGAAGTGCAGCCAGAGTGCTCCTTGGAGGCCAGGATGGCCAAACTTTGTCTCTCATACTTCGGACATATAGTTAGGAGGGACCAGTCACTGGAGACGGATATCATGTTTGGTAAGGTGGAGGGTCAGAGAAAAAGAGGAAGACCCCCAGCAAGATGGATTGACAAAGTGGTAGGGCTCAAGCGTGGCAACAATTGTGAGGTTGGCCCAGGATTGGGCAGTGTTTTGTTCTGTTGTGCATCGAGTCCCTATGAGTTGGTATTGACTCGATGACACCTAATAACAACAAAGACAACTCACAACAACAAAGACACAGTCCTAGAGGCTAAAAGCCAGGGTGTTGGTGGGTCGTGCTCCCTGCTAACGCTTGGAAGCTGCTTCTTCCTTGTCTCGTCCAGCTTCTGGTAGTTGCTGGCCATTGCTGGCACGTTTTTGGACTGGTAGCTACGTCATTACCATTTATGTCTCCATCTACACACGATCTTCTCCCCTGTGTGTCTGGGTATCCAAAACTTCCTCTTTTTTTAAGGACACCAGTCATGTAGGATTTAGGGCCCACGCTAACCCAGTATGACCTCTGCTTACCTTGACAGTATCTGTGGAGCCTCTCTTTCCAAATAAGGTCACATTCACAGGTGGACATAAATTTTGGGGTCTCTAGGATAAGGAGCTCTGGTAGCATAGTGGTTACAAATCGGACTGCAAACCTTAAGATCAGCAGTTCAAAACTACCAGCTGTTCCGCAGGAGAAAGATGAGGCTTTCTGTGCCCGTAAAGATTTACAACCTTGGAAACCCTGTACAGGGTCACTATAAGTTGGAACTGACTCCACGGCACATAACCAACACCACACCAGGATAAGCACTGAGCTCCTGGTGTGGACTGCTAACCACAAGGTTGACGGTTCAACCCCACCAGCTATTTCCTCTATAGGGTCACTAAGTGTTGGAACCAATTCAACAGCACTTAACAACAGCAACAGGATAAGCACTGGACTGCTAACCGCAGTTTATGCTCGCCAACCACTCCTCAGGAGAAAGATGAGGTTTTCTGCTCCCAGAAAATTTTACAGCCTCAGAAATGCTACACAAGGTCTCTAGGAGTCAAGATGAGTTTGATTTGGGTTTTGGAAGTGCCACAAAGGGGATCCCTGGGAATGCACTGGGTTAAGCATTTGGGCTGCTAGCCAAAAGGTCTGCAGTTCTAACCCATCAGCCACTGCACAGGAGAAAGATTTGGCAGTCTGCTTCTGTAAAGAGTTACAGCCTTGGAAACCCATCAGTTCATATGCATAGGACCTCTATAGGATAGATCCTATAGGGTCGCTATGAGTCAGAATCAACTCAACAGCAAATGGGTTTTAGGTGTCATGAAGGCATTATGGGGGCACAGCAGGTTAGGTATTGGACTGCTAACTGAAAGGTCAGCTGTTCAAACCCACCAGCAGCCCCACAGGAGAAAACAATGTGACTGCCCAAGATTTATAGCCTTGGAAGCCTTATGGGACCATTCTTACATCAGGGTCACTGTAAGTAAGAATGAACTTGCCAGCAATAGCAATGGGTCTAAGTGGCACAAACAGTCCTGGTGTGGCGCTGTGGGTTAATGTGCTAGACTGCAAAGTCAGTTTGAACCACAAGATGAGCGGTTTTGTTTTCCAACAAGTTCACCAGCTGCTCCTTGGAAACCCTATACAGGGTTGCTATGGGTCAGAAGTGACTCGACGGCACTTCACAACAACAACACTAATTTAAAAGTTAGCAGTTTAACCCACCCAGTGGTGCTATGAAAGAAAGTCCTGGCTGTCTGAAGCTATGGCAGATGAGAGCCAAGAAAACGCTATGGAGCCATTTGAGTGCAGCACAGAGGACTGCCCGAGTTCTAATTGACTGTCTGGCATCTGGTTTCATTTCTGGTTTTGATCATCCCAGGATAGAAGAGCAGACAGTGCAGGAATAAACCAACAAGATAAATCCAGATAGAGAGGAGGATTTGAAGACAATAAAAGGAGGTCAGCTGATGAGAGAGTGCAGGCCTGATCTCATTACATAAGTAGTTGGGGACCAAAGTGGAAGTCAAAGTTGTCTCCAGGGGGCTGTCCCTGGACACCCAGATAGAGACACCTGAGCAGAGCAGAAGGGTGAGGGTCTCGGGTCAGCGTCTGCGGAGTCTGGTTCTGGGGTCCCATCAGCCACGCCCATGACCATCACTCCACTCCATGGGAACAAATGTGTCCCATGGCATCCGCCTCTAGTGGGACTAGGGAGGGCTGGGGTTTCAGACCTCTGTTCCCACTACCATCTGACTTCTCCTCAGATGTCGGGGGGCCTGCGGATCCCATTGCTCCCAGCATCATCATCCCTCCCAAGAACACCAGCGTGGTGGTCGGGACCTCGGAGGTGACCCTGGAGTGTGTGGCCAACGCCAGGTCTGTAGTGTGACCCCCTCACTCCCATCTCCTAGCTGGTCACTCTCCCTCCCTCTCTCCCCACCTTCATGTCCACTGCTTCACGTTTCCACTGTGGCTAAGACGGTCCTGGACCCCAACACCTGCATGTGATCACTAAGCACCCTAACAGAGTGTGCTTTGCAGCCAGGCCCCACCCAAGGGTGTCTCCCCAGTGGGTAAGTGCAAGTTGCCCCATGTTACAAACAAGGAGACTGAGGCCCAGAACACCTGAAGGAACTTGCCCAAGTTCCATGTACTGGCGGACCTCCCAGATATTGTGGGTTCGATTCCAGACCACCTCAATAAAGAGAGTCAAACGAGATTTCTGGAGTCCCCGTGCATATAAAAGAGATGTGTACACAAAACTGCCGTCTGTGAGGTGTGCAGAGAGCACACTGCAAGGGTTTCACACGTTTGAGAATGACTGACGTGTGACGTGGAGACTCGAAGTAAGCACACACTGTGGGGAAAAGGGGCTGATAGACTTGCTGGATTCAGGGCTGCCACAGATTCTTGATTTGTATAAAATGCTAAGTCTGCAAAACGCAGCAAAGGAGAGTATTAGAAAGTGGCCATGCCGGGTTGAGTCCAGACAGCCTGACTCTCAAGTCTGCACCCTTGCCCCTGTCCCTCCTGCCACCGTCCACCCTGCCCACAGCCTCCAGAGGCCCTCTGCAGACCACTGTCTCCCTGTGCCCTCCACCCACCCACTCTCAGGCCCCTGATTAAGCTGCACATCATTTGGAAGAAGGATGGGATACTGTTGTCGGGAGGTATCAGCGACTTCAACCGCCGGCTCACCATCCCCAACCCCACAAGCAGCGATGCCGGATACTACGAGTGTCAGGCTGCCCTACACAGCAGCAGCGTCCCTGCTGTTGTCCGGGGGGCCTACCTGTCCGTGTTAGGTGAGCACTGGGGCAGCTGGGGTTCCCTGGTGGCTAGATCAACAAGGAGCATGCCTGTGAACCCCCTGCCCTGTCCACCCTCCTGCAGAGCCGCCTCAGTTTACCAAGGAACCAGCGAGACACATCACCGCGGAGATGGAGAAGGTGGTGGACATTCCCTGCCGGGCCAAAGGTAAGCCGGGAACCAGGATGCCGAGGCCTCAAGCCTCTCCTGACCTGCCGCAGCCCTCCACTGAAAGTAGAATCAGCTCTGCCGTGAGCAGGTGCCCAGGAAACAAACCAACGGTCATTCTCTCAGGACTGCAACTCAACCCACGTCACGGTAACTTCAGGGTTACCAATGAACGCAGAGGACTGTGCTCTCAGGACCAGTGACAGACCCAAATTGCCGGTCATTTCAGAGTTGCAGACAATGTGGAGTTACCATAATGTCACAACTGCCAGACTCGGAGATGAGTCTTGTAAGCCTGCTTTCGGGGCCATTTTGTCCTCTCTCTTCCCCTGTCCCCTCTATGATGTCCCCATGTCTCCCCCTTCTGATTCAGCCGGGTCACAGACAGCTCAAAGCCAGAGTGACATGAATGGGGTGATGATGAGGGGGTTGGAGGGACCTCCAGGGGGCATGACCTAATACTGAGTAAAGGGAGACAGAATTGCAGGAAGGGGCCCTTCCTGACAGTCCAGAGGGGAAGGCCTGATCACTTACTCACTCATTCGTTCAGCAAATAGGGTCTGAGGGTTTAGCACATGTTGATGGTGTGTTGGGCAGTAGAATTGAGGGGAATAGATGAAACTACAGCCCCAGCTCTTTCAAAAGCCACCTTCCCATGAGGGAGACAGACACACCAGTAAGCAAATACAAGAACCTGATTTCATTTCATCTCAAATACCACCGGCTGTCAGAGACCCCATTTTTCTATGTACCATAAATGAAGAATCCCATAAAGGGATTACAGTGGCTAGGTAGCATAAACACTGGACTGTGAGCACCAAGGTCGGAGGTTCAAGCACACCAGTCACTCCTTGGGAGAAAGATGAGGCTTTCTGTTCCCTCAAAGATGTATAGCTTCAGAAACCGTATACAGAGTTTCTATGAGTCAGAATTGACTCTACGATACTTAATAGCAACAAGAAAGAAGAAAGCTGCAATTAAATGGCAATGTGAGACAACTGTGATCTCAGAGATGTTCTGGTTTGAAAGACAATGTGTCTGTCTTACAGTGGGTGGGTCAGAGTTGAAAGTGCCAAGAGGTAAAAGAAGGCAGATTATGGGGACATCGCACTGTGGAGGTGCTCTTTGGGGCAGGGTACTGGGAAGACTCATATGAACAGAGGTCTGGAGGAAGTTAGTGGCTGGGATGGCCCATGGGACAACTATGCTAAAGGAGAGATGCTGGAAAAGACTGAGAGACTCTGGAAAGTTCCAAGAGTACCTGAAAGATACTACCAAATGTTATGTTTATAAAACTTAGTATTGTAATACTTTTCATAATATTCCAAAGGTGGAAACAACCAAAATGCCCATCAACAAGTAAATGGATAAACACAATGTGTTTCGTACACACAATGGACTATTATTCAGCCGTCCTGGGGTGGCGCTGTGGGCTAATGCGTCAGACTGCAAAGTTGTTTGAACTGCAAGGTTGGTGGTTCAAGCTCACCAGCTGCTCCTTGGGAACCCTATACAGGGTCACTATGGGTTGGAATCGACTCGACAGCACTTAACAACAATGTAAAGAGAAATAAAGTCCTGGTGTGGGTCACACCATCACATGGACAACCCACAGCCTGCTGAGTGGCCAGTCCGCTGCTGAAGGACAAAAGGACCTCACTTACCATGGACTAAGCAAACATATAGAAGATGAAGAATGTTTACAGGTGTAAGGAGCTCTGGTAGCGTAGTGGTTACGAATCGGGCTGCGAACCTTAAGGTCAGCGGTTCGAAACTACCAGCCGCTCCGCGGGAGAAAGATGAAGCTTTCTACTCCCGTAAAGATTTACACCCTCGGAAACCCTGTACAGGGTCGCTATGAGTCGGAACCGACTTGACGGCAGTTAACAACAACAACAACAACCACAGGTGGGGGCTGGTGTTAGTGCTGTTGCGTCAGTTCCAACTCATGGCAACCCTGTGTAGGGTTTCCAAGGAGCTGCTGGTGGGTTTGAACCACTGATCTTGCTGTTCAAACTGACCTTGTGGTCTAGTGCTTTATCCTACAGCACCACACCAAGACTAACACTAGGCAAATTTCCTGTACAAGACCTCTTTAAAGTGCTCAAGCGCAAAGATTTGAGGACTAAGATGCGCCTGACCCAAGCCGGGGTATTGTCAACGACCTCAGATGCATGTGAAAGTTGGAGAATGAAAAGGAAGACCGTAGAAGGATTGATGGATTTGAGGTTAGGGTTGGAGGAGACTATTTAAAATACCATGGACTGCCGAAAGAACAAACCAATCTGTGTTGGAAGAAGTACAGCCAGAATGCTCCTTAGAAGCCAGGATGGTCAAACTTCGTTTCCCATACTTCAGACATATCATCAGGAGGGACCAGTCCCTGGAAAAGGACATCATCCTTTGTCAAGTGGAGGGTCCGCAAAAAAAGAGGAAGACCCCAATGAGAAGGATTGGCACAGTGGCATCAGCAGTGGGCTCAGGCCTAACAATTGTGAGGTTGGCACAGGAGTGGGTAGTGTTTTGTTCAGTTGTGCATTAAGTCGCTATGACTCAATGGCACCTAACAACAACAACAACCAGGTGTGAAGGAAGAGGGGGCGTTTTCGTTTAGGGGGGCAGTAAGTTGGCTTTCTCCATGGTGGACTAATTCCAAAAAGGAAAATGACCATGATACAATATGAAGAAGATGGACAATGTCCCTGAGTTTTAGAAATTGTTGAATTGGAGAGTGTTTGGGTGTGTATATTTTCTCTACAATTTTTCTAAAATGTTTGTCCAGCCTAGCGTTTCCAGACTAATGTGACACTTTTAAGTTTCTAGAAACATCTCCTGTAGCCCACAGAATTTGAAAACAGCTTCCCTGAGAACATCCTCCCCATCCCCCTCACCTAAGGCCAATCACGGCTCCTCTGAGAAGGTTGCAGGGTGAACCCATTTCTGCCCCTCCTCTCACCTGTCTCTCCCACCTCACCTGCAGGTGTGCCACCGCCCTCTATCACCTGGTACAAGGATGCAGCGGTGGTGGAGGTGGAGAGGCTGTCCCGCTTCCGGCTGCGTGGCGACGGGGGCCTGCAGATCAGTGGGCTGGTGCCGGACGACACGGGCATGTTCCAGTGCTTTGCCCGTAACGCGGCGGGAGAGGTGCAAACCTCCACCTACCTGGCCGTCACCAGTAAGTAGGCCTCCCCTGTCCTGCCAGGAGCCCCTCTTGCCAGGGACTCCACTTTCTTCCAAGCCACAAGCCTCTTGAGAAAAGGACGCTGCATTCAGAGGTGGGGTTCCAGTGATCTCCGTTGTTGCCCCGGCTTCTGAGGAAATCTCCAGGGCCCCAAAGTTACCACCAGTACCCTGGAACCAGAGACGGATTCACTCATCACTGAGAAACCTGACCAAAAATCCAATTTCATGGAGTCAGCCTGACTCAGAGTGACCCCTTGTGTGTCAGCCCAGGGTTTACAATAGCTCACTTTTGGAGACAGGAGCTCTAGGTCTTTCTTCCAAGGTGTGTCTAGCCTCTGGGTGGATTCGAACCTCCAAGCTTTCAGTGAGCAGCCAAGTGTGTCAACCGTGTGCCCCCCACCTAGGTATGCTATGAAACCACAAGATGCCCCCTTTTATTTTAAACTGGGCTCCCATCAGAGTGGAGAGACCCCGTGTCAACCAGAGGGGAATCGCTCACCTCCCCAAAGGAAAGAATCAGCACTTACATCTGGGTTCCACCACCTGCAATTTCCTCACCCTCTTGGGATGTATGTTATGGGTTGTTCTAGTTACCTGGCCCAGCCCAAGAGCTTCATAGAGCTGTTTGCACAAGCCAAGAGGAAGCTGTGTGGTAACACACCATAGGCTGTAAAGCCTTGTGGGAGTATCCACCAGGCTCTCTCTATTATCCATATCCAAGGCTACAAAGGAGCCTCCTTGAGTCCCACAGACTTTGTCTCACCAGGGGTGGAGAAGCCCCAAACAAGGGCGCTGGCTACCCTGGGCTACCATCTTCATCTCCATTTCAGCCTTGCTCCCATACTGAACAGACAAGGCAGTTACTGTGGGATGAGATTCAGAAAGGGAACACAGAACAAGGAGGTTGTACCAACCCTGGAAGAATTACACCCCAGCAGGCTGGGAGGAGCTCAGGGTCTTTGTTGATGTTGTTGTTGTTGTTGTTAAGTACCGTGGAGTTGATTCTGACTCATAGCAACCTTTTACGGGGTTTCCAAGGCTGTAAATCTTTACGGGAGCAGAAAGCCTCATCTTTCTCCCACGGAATGGCTGGTAGTTTCAAACTGCCAACCTTGAGGTTCGCAGCCCAATTCATAACCACTACGCTACAGAGCTCCTTCCGGGCCTTTAGATGTGGGGATTCTTCTCCTTGGCTTGCAGCTAGAGTGTTCAGCCCTTGATTCGAGGAAGGATGAATCCATGAAGATGAATCACATTGGCCTGGTCATGAGAGGGGGTGGGGTGAACTACTTGCTGGGGCCCTTGGTTTTCCCATGAATAGAGGTCTGAGGGGGCAGGGTCACCCTGCCCTTCCCTCCCATCTCTGGGCTGGGTCCCTGGGCTGGGACCCCCTCAGGGCGACTGCCTCCTTCCTTGCTATGGTTCAGAGAGGGCCTGGGGCTGAGAGCTCCCCTGTCTCTACCTACAGGCATCGCCCCCAACATCACGAGGGGCCCCCTGGATAGCACTGTGATCGATGGCATGTCTGTGGTTCTGGCCTGTGAAACTTCGGGGGCACCCCGGCCAGCCATCACGTGGCAGAAAGGTAGGTGGGGTGGATCTGCTATAGAGGGCTGAGGGTGGGGGTGTCCTCAGAGTCTAGGGTGGTCCTCAGAGCTGGATTCTGGGGTCCTCCAGGCTGGGTGCCAGGTCCCTGGACAGTTGTGAAGGTTGTGCACTGCACAAACCAAGAGGACATCTTTGCTCACATCTGAGTGCGTACCATGAGCTACAGCCTCAGTCTCCCCATCTGTAAAGTGGAGACAATGACATCGCACCTCAGGGCAGCCATGCAGGCTAAATGAGAGTGCCCTGTGTCTGGGAAGGAGTGAAACCCAGGAAGTGGTGGACACTAGATGTTCAATATCATTATGGTTTGTCGGTGACCACGCCACCTCATCCCCACAGGCAGCTGAGCCAGCAATGTCCAGCTGTCCTCCCAGGAACCCCAGCCCTGTGGGCTGGGTGCCACACACTCCCTTCTTCAACTCCACACACTTACTTTCACAGCTTTCCTGGTGTACACACAGACTCACGTATGCACACACAGATGCACGTGTACACATATCCTGTATACACACACGACACACACATGCATACATACTATAGATGCACATGTAATGCACTGCATGCACCCTGTAGATGCACACTTGGACGTACATGTGTTCTCTCTCTCTCTCTCTCTCTCTCTCTCTCAGGTGCACCTTCCCTCAGGCCTCTCCCACTCTCCCACCTCCTCCTGTCCTTGGGCCTCCTCCCACCCCTTTCCTGCTTCACTTTCCCACCTCCTAATACTCCAACTCACACCCTGGTTCATTTTGCTCATCACTGTCCCCCCAAAAGTCAAGAGTTTCATCCACATCCACTGTTGTCTCCCCAAAGCCTGGGACTGAGTCTGGCACACAGTAGGTGCTAAATAAGCATTTGTGGAGTGAAGGTAGCAATGCCCAAGCAGGCGTCACACACAAAAATACACACCAGCTTAACATGTTGGGACATGTGGGCATACAGACAAACACATGAAATAACACATGAGCAAATAGATGCAGGTGTGAATACAACCACATGAATGCAAACAGACTCAAGAGTGCAGGCATACACGTGCAAACAGACACCTGTGCAAACACACATGGGCATATACACACAAGAGTGAGTAGGCACATGCATGCGTGCACACACACATGTGTGAGTAGACACGTGAATGTGCGCACACACATGTGCAGACAGACACAGCCATGCAAACACATATGGGTGTAGATTCGTGTGTGAGAATTGATGCACCCATACAAGCACACGTGCAGATACCAGTGCACGAGCACACCCATGCAACATATGTACAGATTATATGTGCCCGTGCAAACACATGTGTGTGCACATATGTGCCCCTGAAAACATATGTTGATGCACATGTGTAGGCACACCCATGCACGTAGACACTCACACGTACAGACAGAGGCGGGGGCTTTATTTAACACTGACACAGTGGATAAACACGAGCCACGCTCTCAGCTCACTCCAGCACATCTCTGCCCATGACCCCTCTGGCAGGCCTCCTGTCCTGTCCAGCACTGTCTCCCCTATGGTGCTCCTGTCCACCCACCCTCACTACCCACCCATCACACTCCTCTCACTTGAAGGTGACCCCAGGACCGTCCTGCAGGGTCCCCATCACCACCTTGTCAACTGTCTGCTCCCTTTCCCTGGTACAGTGCTGGCTGCCACCCCAGGCTCAGGAGACAGTGACGGGCAGATAGCAGTGGGGGCGGCGGGGGGAGGGCATCTTAGGCCTCCTCTTTAACCATGTGACCTTGTGCCAGTCACCAAGTCAGAGAGCTCTCTGGGACTCAGTCCACACTCTAGTACTTTATAGCAGGAGCTGGACTGAGCCCACCCTGCCGGGATAGTGGATAGGATGTGTGGTCTGGGTGCTTAGGGTGTTGGGGGCTGCTAGGGTAGCATGTTAGGGTGCTGAGTCAGGCATGGTTTCAGGGAGTAGTTTGGGTGGAATGTTGGGAGACTGCCAGGATTGGGTACCAGGGGGCTGCTGGGGTGAGGAGTTTGGAGGGGTATTGGGTCTGCTGGGACAGGGTGTTGGGGAGCTACCAGGGTGGAGTGTTGGGAGGCTGCTGGGATGGAGTGTCAGGAGACTGCTGGGGTGGGGAGTAGGGCAAGTGTCAGGGAGGGGCCTGGGTGGGTCTCAGGGGTCTACCAGGGTGGGGTGTTGGGTGACTTCTGGACGGCAGGGAGCTGCGGGGGCCTTGCAGCTGAGCCCCTCCCCATGTCATCCTCAGGGGAACGAATCCTGGCCAGCGGCTCCATCCAGCTACCCCGCTTCACGCTTCTGGAATCGGGCAGCCTGCTGGTCAGCCCCACACACATCTCGGATGCCGGCACCTACACCTGCTTGGCCACCAACTCCCGGGGAGTGGACGAGGCCTCAGCGGACCTGGTTGTCTGGGGTGAGTCTGTCAGTGTGCTCACATTGCACATCTGTGCACAAACATGCAACTCCACATCTGTGCATCAGTCCACCCGGGACCTTCACGGGAGAGCCATCCACAAGCAACTTAGTCCAGAGGCAAGGCCAGAAAGGCCAGGGTCCCTGCTCGTGGAGACATCACAGCTGTCTGCGTGCACGTGAAGGTAGACATCAGTACACATTTCCTGTAAAGCACCAGAGAGGGCATGTCTTAGGTGTCGTGGGCCAGACATGTCTGTCACAGACTCTGAGAAAGCATCGTCTGGGTGTGGCTGCGTTCCAGTAAGCTTATTGACTGGACCAGACCATCTGAGAGATTTAGTCCCCAGGTTGTAGTTTGCAAACTCCTGCTTAAAGGAAGCTAACTCCTTGAGCTCTTCCACTCTAGGATGGCCCCTCCTAGGATCCATATCCAGGACCCTCCTACCTAGGGCCCACCTGTGGCGGCTATGCCCAGGTGTTCTGGTGTGTCCAGCACAAGATTGGGATTCAGACATCCTATTTTTACCCTGTCTGGACCACTAACACGCTGTGAGCTGACCGCATCATCACTGTAATTCTATCTCTCCGTTCTTCGTGTGGATTTGTGAGAACAAAATTCGAGGCGGCTTTAAGAACTCGTTGTTCTTTGCGACCATTCTGGGATTTGCACTGTAATAGGCCTGTCCACATATGGCTCTGCCTTCTCCACCACAGAGTCCAGGCACACAGCCCCGATTCTCCTAAAAGCATCCTTACTCCCACACGCCGTCCTCGGGGACCCCCGGTCCCTTCTCACTACGCTGCCTCTGCCGCTCTCTTTCAGCCCGGACCCGAATCACTAAGCCCCCCCAGGACCAGAGTGTCATCAAAGGCACCCAGGCTTCCATGGTGTGTGGTGTGACCCATGACCCCCGAGTGACCACCAGGTATGCACAGGTGGGAGTGGCACCATTAGGGATGGCTTGCGGCTGGTGTAAGTGCTGTCACTGGACATCATCCACTGAGCTGAGTGCAGGGTGAGCCTCCAACACAGAGGAAAACCACGTGCCATTGAGTTACTGCATGATGACTGATTCAGGACGTCCCTGCGTGGGTCAGACTAGGACTGCACTCCACAGGGTTTCCAGTGGCTGGTCTTTTGAAAGCTGACTGCCAGACGTTTCTTCCTAGTGGACTTTCTTTCTGAATGGACTCAAATCTCCCACCTTCCCATTGTTGTTGTTGTGAAGTGCCATTGAGTCGGTTCCAACCCATAGCGACCCTGTATAGGGTTTCCGAGGAGCAGCTGGTGGTGAGCTTGAACCTCCAATTTTGCAGTTCAAATGACTTTGCAGTCTGACGCATTAACCCACAGCGCCACACCAGGATTCCACCTTTCCATTAGCAGCACATTAACCCTTCAGGGACTGAACCATCAAACCAAACCCACTGCATCAAGTCAAGTCCGACTCATAGCAAGCCTGTGGGGCAGAGAGTAGAATTGCTTCTTAAGATTTCCAAGGCTGTTAAATCTTTACAAGAGCAGACAGCTGGCCTTTTCCAACCACCAACCTTTCTGAGCAGTGCTGACAGCAACCCCAGCAGTTGCTGAGTAAACACCTGGGGAACTGAGCCACCTTGGATTGAACTGAGGCAGTTGGCAAGGACCAGGAGAGGAAGGGATGTGGAAAAACAGGAATGGGAAACAAAAGGCAGTATGGTTGAGACCCCAGGCACCCCTGCTAGGACCAGGTCTTATACACTCTGCCCACCAAGGGAAAGCAAAGGGGTCTCAGTAAACAGACTCCAAGAGCAGTGCCTAGGACAGGAGAGGCATGTGATGAGAAAGTGCCCAGACCCCAGCTGATGTGGGGCCAGGATGTGGGCAGGTAGCTTAGCTGCAGAGGAGCTGGGTCCCACTGCAGAAGTCCCCACAAAGGACTTGGGGGAGCAGTCCTAGACAGAGCAGCAGGGGAAAGCCTGAAGAAAGTCTTCAGGGAGAAGGCTCAGGAACTAAGACACAAGGAAATGCCTCCTTCAGTCTCTCCCTTGAGGGAAAGCAGAGTAAAAAAATTTAACTACCTCCTTAAAAATAACGATTGCTTTCATGTTTGTCACCATTTTATGGGAAATGTCCTTGCTCAAGCAAGTGGCATCATAGCTGGAAGGGGCGGGGGCACCGAGGCCACTTGTAGGTCTCCCTACTCCTCTACTCCAGAAGGCAGTGGAGTCCTGGGGTGCCATCTGGTGGTCACTGGGCATATGACAGCCCATACGACGGTACCAAATGAGACCCCAGGAGGGCCTCTGAGTGGTGAGCACTGGACTTCTAACCAAATGATTGCAGGTTCAAGTTCATTGGGAGGGACCTCGGAAGAAAGACCTGGTGATCTCCTTCAGAAAAATCAGCCATTGCAAACCAAGTGAAGTACAGTTCTCTGACATACATGGGGTCGCCATGATAGCAAATGGTCAGGGTGGGCGGTTCAAACCCACCAGCCGCTCGTTGGAAACCCTATACAAAATCACTGTGAGTCAGAACTGACTCGACAGCACTTAACAACAACAAGGGAAGGGAAAGGGGATTTTAGACGTTTAGAACAACAGGAAGAAGAGAAGTCGGCACCCCTGAGGGTACAGCACAGGACCCTATTTGAGACACACCTTGCCAAAGGGTGTGGTGCTAGCATACATGCATACATATATGTATGAGATGAGCTCTGGAGTGGCTTTTTAGGATTAGCGCTGGACTGCTAACTGCAAGATCAGTGTTTCAATCCCAGCAGTCCCTCCATGGATCGCTGTGAGTCGGAGCACACAACAACAACAATCATATATATAATATTGTCAACAGTCAGCCATAATGATTTGACTGTAGAGATCATTCGAGTTTTTGCAAAAGAAATTAACGTATCAACTGTAAAAGATCCTCCACCACCACCCCCCACCACCCCAGAGTGCTGCCCTGGGCCCTTATATACAAATAGGTAGTAACTATACTTATATTCTCTCATTAAACCCTACTGCAATTAAAGAGCTCTGGTAGTGTAGTGGTTACGAATCGGGCTGCGAACCGCAAGGTCAGCAGTTTGAAACTATCAGCTGTTCTGTGGGAGAAAGATGAGGCTTTCTGCTCCCATAAAGATTTACAGACTCGGAAACCCTGTACAAGGTCGCTGTGTGTCAGAACCGACTCCACGGCCCATAACCACCGCAATTACCAAGTGTTACATTAGTCCGGTGAAACTTCTATATAAGTTGATGTTTTATTTTAAAGTTACCATGCTTATAATTTGGAGTCTTGGTATGGTGCTGCGGGTTAATGCTCTGAACTGCAAGGTCGGCTTGAATAGCAAGGTTGGAGGTTCAATCTCACCAGCTGCTCCTAGGAAACCCTATACAGGTTTGCTGTAAGTCAGAATGGACTCGATGGTACTTCACAACAACAATGCTTATAAATTATTATCCTGGTGTGGTGTAGGATAAAGCACTGGACCACAAGGTCGACTTGAAGCTCAAAGTCGGTGGTTCAAACCCACCAGCCACTCCTTGAAAACACTATACAGGGTAGCTATGAGTCAGAACTGACTCAATGGCACTTACCAACAACATACTTGGGAAATGCCTGTACATCTTATTCATACTTTAGATGATTCTTGATAAATAAGGGGATTTAGGGGCCTCTTGTAAGATACTGAAAGGAGCAGTGGCTACTAACGGAAAGGTCAGCAGTTTGACCAGTTGTTACTTCCAGAGAAAGATGTGGTAGTTAGCTGCCTTGGAAACCCTCTGGGGCTGAGTCAGAACCATAGGTTTGATTTAGTTTAGAATCCATCTGCAGGTCCTACAGGGGCCTCCATGGCTCAAACCAAACACCTACTGACCATGGAATCCAAACTCACAGACCCCATGGGACGGAGCAGAACTGTCCTGTGGAACTTTCAAGGCTGGAAATCACCTTTACGGAAGATAATTTTCCCTTGGAATGGTTAGTCGAACAGCCGACCGTTCGGTTAGCTGGCATGTTTAACCCAATGCGGCACCAGAACTCCCTTCCTCATAGATCATTCTGATTTCCTGCCGGAGGGGAGGTTGGCGAGCCTTACTTTAGAATGGGATTACTCCACCAGGACGATAAGACAACTTGATCTTCTCTCGATGGGGGAGAGATCAGACTTGGTTCCTGGCACCCCTAAAATGTGTAAAGTCTGATCAAAACCACCCCTTATTTCCCAGCCACTCCTTGGACTTGGGGGGACCTCCTGCTACCCTCCTTCAGGTGGATCTCTGAGGTGGGGTCCCTGAGCAGGCCGACTGGAAAATACCTGAGCAGCCGAGCCAATCTACAGTAATGGGACTTTATTCTTCCTGTGTGAGTATGTTCCCAGACTACAGCTGGAGCCAGGCATAAACCCAGCTTCAAACAAAGCTCTTCTGAGCCCAGACCAACAGCATCTGAAGAAGTCACTCTTAGCTGCCATGACTATTGATAAGTATTCGTGTTGGGTGTCATCAGGCGGATTCTGGCTCATACGGAACCATGTGTTATGGCGTAGAACTTCCCATCATGTTTCTAGGTTGTAATCTTAACAGGATCAGACCACCAGGTCTGTCTCCCTAGGAGCTACTGGGTGGGCTCGAACCATCAACCTTTTGGTTAGCAGCTGAGCACTTAACCTTTATGCCACCAGGGATCCGTAGGTATTTGTTTTCTGGAGACAATGGTGGTCTAGTGATAGCATTGTTGCCTTTCCTGTGGGAGACCTGGTTTGATTCCCAGTCAGTGCACTTCATGGGCAGCTTGTGAGTTGCTCTGATACTGAACAGGATTCAGCAGAGCGTCCATACTCAGATAAACTAGGAAGAAAGGCTTGGCAACTGACTTCCAAAAACCAGCCAAGATGAATATATGGATCAGAAAAGCCACGGATCAGAAACCATCGTGGGATGGTTCAGGGCTAGGCAGACTTTCATTCCTTTATGCTTGGGGTCATCCTGAATCTGGAGCAATAGCAGTTAACAACCATTAACCTTGGTTTGGGGGTGGGAGGAACAAAACAGAAGAATAGAGAAAGTGAGAAGAAAAGTGGAATCATGTTTTCCCCATTAAAACTCATCAGTGATGATATTTGGATGCCATTTGACAAAACTAGAATCTCCCTGTTTCTCAGTCTGCATTTGCCTTAAGAACCGGTTGTGAAGCCTTTCCCTCGTCATTGGGTATGTTTGTATAAAACTCAATTATCCATGGTCCATTGTTAAGGATGTAACAGACTTTATGTTGCCAGCTTCCTGTGGCTGGATAGTTGGATTGTTTCTGTTGGGTTTTTTTGTTTTTTTCTAATCTGAAGAAATACTGTCACAAAAATCCTTGTAACTCATTATTTTTGCACATACTTGATTTTCTGAGGACTGTCTGATACAACTTAAAGCTGAGAGGACCTCTCAGAAACACTCATCAAAATTGTATAATCGCCAATTCTATAATTGCAGATTATTTTGGAAAATTTCTACCCTATCCGAGTGTCTTTTCTTTTCTTTTTCTTTTTTTTTATTATGGAAATTTCCAAACAGACACAAAAGTAAAGAGAATTGTATCATTAACTCTCATGGATCCATCACTCAACTTCAACCAATTATCTCCATTTGCCTATTTCGTTTCAATTATTCCCTCCATATTTTTTTCCCCTCTGAATATTTTAAAAACAAATCCCAGACGTGTAATTTTACCCCAAGTGCGCCTATGTACATTTCTCACTCCAAAGGACTTTCTTTAAAAAAAAACATAGCAACCCTGGTGTTATCCCACTCAACACAATGAACAACAATTTTTCTCCTGCTGTGAAACCATATGTCAGTTTCTTGGAATGTCTCCAGAGGCTCTTTTTTGTAGTTGAGTGGTTGGATTCAGTATCTAAACAGAGTCCACTTGATGAGAGCATCTCTTTCATCCTACAGCAGCCCCACACCCCTTTTTGTGTTGTTGTTTGACCATTGATTTGTTGGAGAAACCAGGACTGACAGGACAGAGGTCAGCAAACTTTTTATGTAAAGGGGAAAAGAATGAGTATTTCAGGCTTTGGGAGACATGTGGTCTTTGTCATAAGTGATTGTATGCCAATAAAACTTTATTTACACAAAAAGGCAGAGGGCCACAGTTTGCCAACCCCTGCTGCGGAAGATTCCACATTCTGCTTTCTCGTGGCATTGTTATCTTCTTCTTCTATCCCCTGTATTTCTAATTTGATTCGATTAACTGCTAAAGAGATTCAACTTGAAGTGTCTTGGCACAAATACTTCACATGTGGTGCCATCTCCTAAGGCAAATAACATTGGGAGCCCTGGTGGACAGTTCAAATCCACCAGCCACTCTGAGGGAGAAAAATGAGGCTGTCTGCTTTTTGAGATTTACAGTTCCAAAAACCCAAAGAACCAGTTATACTCTGTTCTACAGAGCTGCCTGAGTGGGAACAGACTCGGTGGCAGTGGGCTTGGGGATTTTTTGGGTTTTGTGTTTGGGTTTTGTGGTTTTGGGGTTTTGTTTTTGTTTTTTTATTGGGCATAGTTCCTTATCAACTAGATTTATTTTTAAATAGAAGTATACCCATCACACCAAAACCAGAAAGGATGATTCTTTTTTTTAGTAAAGAGATAAACCAAAGGGGTTGACTTCTGGCAATTTGGAGGTATATATCAAAAGCCTTAATAACAAACTCTGAAATTTCACCCCTGAGAATTTATCCTCGAGGAAAAAATTTAGAATCCATGTAAATATTTCATTATAAGGATGTAGCATTAACTCCAACACCAAAAAACAAGGAGCTCAACTGAACACCCAACAGGATGGGATCTCAAATGATACAGCACGCAGCTGATCAAAACCATGTGCAGAGAGGTCAGAGGAAAAGGAGTTTACGATAATATGATGTGTGGAAAAACTGCTGGAAAAAAAAAATAAGATGGATAGGCAGTTAGCTATATAACATTTGGGTAAATATACTGTTTAAGTAGAAACATCATTACGGCTTACTTTTACTGACCACTTGCCATGTTTACGACACTCCTGTATTTTGTTTCATTCACGTAAGTCTCACAACAGCCCTGCGAAGTGAGTATTATTACTCCCCTCAAATTACTGATGAGGAAACTGAGGCACAGAGAAGTTAATGACATCACATCTGATCAATGGCTAAGGCAACATTTGACCAAGGAATCTACCCCCAAAACCCACCCACTGTGTAGCCCCTTCTGTAAGGTGTGTCTTCAGGTATTAATAATGTTACCCAGAAGCAGTGGATCTTTTACTTCTCTGGTTTTGTTTCTTTTTTTAATTGTCTTCTTATTTTAACTTAGGCTAAAGAGAAATACAATGACAGATTCACTCCTCTAGCCATCTTTGTTATTTGCTGTGCCGACTGAGTTTGCTCCTGATTCACGGAGACCCCCATGTGTACAATCTACAGGAGGGCTGCCCAGTCCTTCGCCTGCCCCATGATTGGTTGCAGATTGTACTATTGTGATCTATGCACTTTTTATTGATGGGTTCTTAGGAAGAGATCACCAGCCCTTTCTTCCTAGTCTGTTTTCATCTGGGAACTCCACTGACACCTTCCCAGTATATTAGCCACCCACAGCCTCCACTGACAGACGGTGGTGGGTGAATATGAGGAATTGAACCCGAGTCTCCCATGTATAGGGTGAAAACTCCTCCACTGAACCACTGCTTACCCTTCTACCAACCTCCCTTCTTTAAACTCACATAATTCTATGACCCTGTGGTTCAAAGACCCTTGTTCATTCCAGTTATTCCAGCCAGTTATTCAGTGAGCCTTGGTCACCACCCAAGACACAAAAGTAAAGAGAATTGTATCATTAATTCTCATGAATCCATCACTCAACTTCAACTGATTGTCTGCATTTGCCTATTTCATTTCAATTATTCCCTCCACTTTTTTCCCCCTCTTAATATCTTGAAAAGAAATCCCTAACCCTGGCCCACCTCACCTGTCCTGGTGGTATGGCATCCTCCCCACACGTGGCACTCCACGCACCGTGATAACAACAATAATGTGTGTGTTTCCTCCAGAAGCAATATTTCTTCGTGTCAGGCGCAGGCATGTGTGTAATTCCTCAGGCCCCCTTAGCATTGAGTGACCGAAACTAAAGTGATTTTTTGGACACTGAAGTCAATTTGTCACAGTGATGCATCGATCTAACGATCCCTTCATAAAACTAATTCCGGAATGTAGTCTTTGCCGCAACGTTTATTCTTTCTTGCATGTGATCTCATAGACTCTTTGGAAGAATACCTCCGGCCGACTCTTTTATGCTGCCTGTTTTGCAGCGAGAGCCTTGACCCAGACTTGAACTGAGAGTGCAAACTGACTGATAATGACTTCCCCCGTGTTAACCTTCCTGAACAGAACACCCTACCCTGCTCCCCACCGGGTGGGAAGGGTTCTGGCAGACTGTTATGTTATTAAGATGGTATGCCAGAGTTAGGCTGACACTTAATGCTTTCGGCTGCTGAAAGGTTAGTGGTTTGAGTCCACCTAGGACTCCTGGTATGGCGCTGTGGGTTAATGCGCCAGACTGCAAAGCTGTTTGGACTGTAAGGTCGGTGGTTCAAGCTCACCAGCTGCTCCTCGGAAATCCTATACAGGGTTGCTATGGGTCAGAAAAGACTCGATGGCACTTAACAACAACAACAACAACAAGAGGTACCTCAGAAGAAAGGCCTGGGAATCTACTTATGAAAAATGAGTCATTGAAAGCCCCGTGGAGTATAGTTCTACTCTGACACACATGGGCTGCCATGGCTTAGGGTCAACGCACTGGTAACTGGTTGGTTGTAAGTTGCTCAAGTTTCCACAGTACTCTTCCCCATTCCAGGTACCCTCTCATTCCAGACTAAGACCAGTTCCCTGAGGAAATGTTGAAGGGGGTGTGGGGGACTGGAAGCTTACCAGTGATTGGGTTTGCATTCTCCCTGCCCACTTTGGGAAAGGGCCTTGGTGGCCCAGCCACTCCACAGGAAAAAAATGTGACAATCTGCTTCCTTAAAGCTTGCAGCCTTGGCAACTGTTCTACCGTGTCCAGTAGAGGCAACAGCAGGTTTGCCCATGTCTGGAGAGGGCAGTGGTCATTCAATGGTAAAATGCTTGCCTCCCATATGGGAGACCCGGCTTCAGTTCCCAGCCAACACACAGCTACCACGCCTTGACCATTGGAGGCGTCCATGTTGCTAGGCGTCCATGTTGTGAGGCGTCCATGTTGCTAGGCGTCCACGCTGCTAGGCGTCCACGTTGCTAGGCGTCCATGTTGCTAGGCGTCCACGTTGCTAGGCGTCCACGTTGCTAGGCGTCCATGTTGCTAGGCGTCCACTTTGCTAGGCGTCCATGTTGCTAGGCATCCATGTTGCTAGGATGTTGAACAGGTTCCATCAGAGCTTCCAGACTAAGAAGGACTAGGAAGAAAGTCCTTGGATCTATTTCCAAATATTAAACAATGAAAACCCTCTGGAGCACAAGAGCAGGCAGCACTTTGTTCTGCTGTGTGTGGGGTCCCCAAGACTCAACAAAACCCAACAATAACCTGTATAGAGCTCTCTGCTCAGGACAAGTTCCCCTCTAGGACCCTCCCTACCTCTCCTCACCTCTTGGTGCTTCTTGCCCTTAGATACGTCTGGGAGAAGGATGGGACCACCTTGGGTGTGGAGAGCAACCCCCGCATCCGTCTGCACAAGAATGGCTCCCTGCACATCTCCCAGACGTGGTCCGGAGACATCGGCACGTATACCTGCCGGGTGCTCTCCGCCGGAGGCAATGACTCACGAAGTGCCCACCTTCGGGTCAGGTGAGGGTGGTCCCTGGGCCTAGGGGAAGGGGGCATACAAGTAACACCAACAAGGTGGCCTGGGTCTGTCTCCTGTTTCTGGGACAAACCCTTTCCCCAGCTCAGTTAAAGAAGTCTGGGTGTGGTTCCTGGACAGGTGGGCTTGAATGCCAGAGAAGAAGAACCTCCAGGTAAAGTGGTCAAAGTCACGAGGTACCAGGGAAGCTCAGGGCCCACCCGCCACCCGGCTGTGCAGCTACCACACCTGTCTCTCCTCCAGGCAGCTGCCCCATGCCCCCGAGCACCCGGTGGCCACCCTCAGCACTGGGGAGAAGCGGGCCATCAACCTGACGTGGGCCAAGCCCTTTGACGGGAACAGCCCTCTGATCCGATACATCTTGGAGATGTCAGAAAACAGTAAGACTGCCCTGACCCCACCCGCCTGCCCCTGACCATAGTCAGGAATGGGGAAGATGTCAGAAAACAGTAAAACCACCTTTGCCCCATCCGCCTGCCCCTGATCACATCCAAGGCTGGGGGAGCACCGGCTGAACGCAAGGAATGTGGGCATCCTAAACCTGGAAGCCTCCACTTTCCCATCTGTAAAATGGACCAATGGGTCCATTGTGAGACTTGGACAAGATAAAGCATGAAGGGTGTTGCCCCTAGGATCATTCTCATGGGAGGCCTCAGAGACAGTGGCTATGTTTTTATTTCTCTTCTCCAAAGTGAACTCCAAAGTCGGAATCCACTTGATGGCATTGGGTTTGGTTGTTTGATATTTTAAATGGTGTTTCCAATACAGTTGATTTGAGAAGAAAGAAAAAAAAAAAAAAAAGCTGAATGCATCTCAGTTCCCAGGAGCTCTTTCTTCACTCCTGGCCCCCTCTGGCCTGACTCCCAGTCACATGGGCTAAGTCAAGGGAGAAAAATGGCAAAGTGAAATGGAGTCTATCTGGTCAAGCAGGGCTAGGCACTCCTCTGCTAGCCCAATGAGGATGGGTCCCTGCTGGGTGCCCCCAAGATGCCCACTCTACCCCACACTTCTGTCCTTTCAGACGCCCCCTGGACGGTACTCCTGGCCAGTGTGGACCCCGACACAACCTCGGTGACGGTCAAGGACTTGGTCCCCGCGAGGTCCTACCAGTTCCGCCTCTGTGCCGTTAATGACGTGGGGAAGGGCCAGTTCAGCAAGGACACAGAAAGGTGAGACCACTGACCAGTGACCAGCGCTTTCACCCGGTCACTCAGCAGCTGCAACTGAGAGGGTGCCAAAAGCAGGGAACCCCAGCCAATAGCGATGTGGCACAATGGAGCTGGGCTGCTCTCTGGCCCCTCCAGACTCAGGCCCCACATCTGTAAAATGGGTGTTAAAAATCCCTGTACCTACCTGTGAGCAGTAAATGCATGAGAGCAAGTAACCCTGGGAACGGTGCCTAGCACATGACCAGTACTAAGTAAACGTAGCTGTCCCTGGAGGTGCAAACAGTTCATGCATTTGACTACATTGGCGGTTCGAATCCCTCCAAGAAGTTCCTTGAAAGAAAGACCTAGTAACGTACTTCCAAAGCCTCAGGCACCAAACACCCTACGGAGCACAGTTCCAGTGGGACACACACATGGGCTGGACATGAGTCAGAACTAACTCCAGGCTGCTGCCAGGCAAGTTCAGAAACTTAGCTCATTTGGCTCTGACTCCCCATACACTCCAGCATTGTTCATTAAACAGACCTCAAGTCCCAGAGGGCCATAGGATTTTCACAGAGCAACACATGGACAGCAGTTCAAACCCACAATCCACTCCTCTGGAGAAAGATGAGACTTTTTGTTCCCACAAAGATGTTCAGCTTTGGAAACCCTATATACTGACTTGACAGCACTTAACAACAACAACTGTACCCAATCTGTTGTTTGGCACCAGACACAAGTCACCAAAGCTTTTATAAAATAATGAAAATCAAATAAGCCCTTTTTAAAAGCCTATCATAACACCCTGCTCATGGAGGTGCCAAGTTCTATCCACCTCAGCCCCATAAAACAAGCAGGGACTAACGGTAAAAGTAAACTCTGCACTGTTACTCTCCAGAAGATCTTGGCTCTTACACGGAGACCTCTGGCTTAAATCCGCCATTCCCAGGGTTGTTGGGATTCTCATATGCTTCAGTCTCTCTGGTTTGGGCAAGGAGAGATCTGCTGAGGCCATGACACTCGAATGGAAGGGACCAGTGACAGAGAATTTCTTTGTTTACTGTTTATTGAGCACCTACGACATGCTCTGGTAGCGTAGTGGTTACAACTCAGGCTGCTAACCTCAGGGTCAGCAGTTCGAAACTACCAGCTGTTCTGTGGGAGAAAGATGAGGCTTTCTGCCCCCGTAAAGATTTACAGCCTCGGAAACCCTGTACAGGGTCACTATGAGTCGGAACCGACTCCACGGCACAGAACAACAAACTATGTGCCAGGCCTTGTTTGGACTGCTGGAGAGGGTGCAGGGAACAGAACACCAGAATCACAGGAGAATGGCCTCATGGTGTCAGGGAGAGGACCCTGTATGCACCGAGCCCACCTCCCAGTGTGTCTTCACACGGATGGCCTGAGTCACCAAACTGAAGATGAATTCACCCCTACCCCCCTACTCCCAGCTGTAGAGAGATAAGGCCGTGTGCAATACGTTTTGGATCGCTGTCCATCAGAAAGCAAACATATGAGTACACAGAAAGAAAAAGATACCCATCAAAAATAATTAACTTTTATTTTGAATGGATATGTGTCAGTTAGGTGAAAAATACGCTTGGTGAAGAAATGTGTCCCTGGCAATGCTCGAGAAATGAGATGATGTAGTGTTTGGATTCAGCAGGTGGGCTATCCCATGTGCTCACCCACACACTCACCTACCCCAGCCCACCCAACTCCCCCCCAGCCCGAGGGCTCAGTTAGACGGTAGGGTAGGAGGCAGAGCTAAAAGAATTTAGGATTTGTTTAACATCCTCCTTCTAAAATACTTGACCACTCACAAGCTCAGCAGACTTAACAGCAAATGAGAGACCAAGGTTCGTGCCCCTCAGCTACAATGCATACACACACTTGCTTGATTCTTTACAGTCTGAACAAAAAATAACCGCTAGATGTGAAGCCCCAAACACTGGAAGGAGTTATTGTTGGTTCGGAGGCACCCTGGTGGTGAAACAGTAAGGCACTTGGTTGTTCATCAGAAGGTTGGCAGTTCAAACCCACCCAGTAGCTCTCAGGAAGAAAGGTCTGGTGATCTCCCATAAACCTGGCAGCCTGGGGAACCCCACGGGGCAGTTCTGTATCTTATAGGGTCTGTGTGAGTCAGAATCGACTCGATGACAACAACCTTGTTGGTTTGGTTATTTTATTATCAGTTGATTTTATTGAGGGTCTTCAAGGAAACCTAAAGGGCAGTGGTCTCATAGGAACCTCAGCCAGTATTGTAAGTCAGGTACATGGAGCTTAATGTTTTCCTTCTTTATTCAGAAACAATCTCAGAGAGGTTATGTGACTTGCCTAAAAGCACACAGCAACTTAAGTCCCAGACTTCCTGACTCCACCTCCCAAATGTGTAGAATCATGAGGAATAGAGCAAGTGGGGTCCCCAGAACCCATAAAGTCTCAGAACCTTAGAACAGAAAGGTCCACCACTTTTGGTCTTTTCTCACCCAGGGTATCACTCCCTGAGGAGCCCCCCACGGCCCCTCCACAGAATGTCATTGCCAGTGGCCGGACCAACCAGTCCATCATGATCCAATGGCAGCCACCTCCTGAGAGCCACCAGAATGGACTCCTTAAAGGTTACATCATCAGGTAGGTGCCCTGGGGACAGGAGGAGCACCCCAAACCTGAGGAAAAAGGGCCCGGGAGGCTCAGAAGTGAATTGGAAGACTGCGGGCCCTACCCAGAGAAACAGTGATGTCAGAAATGGAGGCAGAGACGATGATGTGGAGAGATGGAGCGGCTGGGGACTCTAAACCCAAGGAGGGAAAGGGGCTGTGTGCTCAGGATCGGGGGGCAGGCTTGTAGTGTATAACCTTTGGTTGGTTGATGATGCATGGAGGGGATTGTAACCATGTCAATGAAACGATATATGATAGGATGAATGTAAAGCTAATGTTTTCCCATGTAAACTATCACATAATTTACAATAAAACATTAAAAATTATATATGTATATACACATACATAATTTTAAAAATCAACCCTATGGAGCAAAGTTTGACTGTGGAACACATGGGGTCTCTATGAGATGGAATTGGCTCGATGCCAATGGATTTGAGAGGCACAAAAGGTTAAGTACTCAGCTACTAGGCTAAAAGTGGCCAATGGAATCACCCAGAATCTCCTGGAGGTGTTGTTGTTGTTAATCACTTTCAAGTCGATTCCGACCCATAGCCACCCTGTATAGGGTTTCCAAGGAGCAGCTGGTGAGCTTGAACCACTGACCTTGCAGTTCAAACGGCTTGGCAGTCTGGTGCATTAATCCACAGCGCCACCCCAGGGTCGACCTGGCAATTTGCTGCTGAAACCCTGTAGCGCACAATTCTACTCTGCAGATCAATTCATCGTGAGTTAGAATCAACTTGACGCCAATCAGTTTGCTTTTTGGCTGTGTCACCTATGGCTTTTTAAGTGAATTAGCTATAAGTCAAAAGACAAATTCACTTCTGAGCATGCACTGGTCACACTGCAAATGCTCAGCAGCAACATGTGAGAGAGGCCACCGCGTTGCACTGCCAGCGTGGTCCAGGTGGCGTCCCTGGCAGCAGGGGAGTGAGCCCAGGCTGAACCTGCTGCCTCCTCTCCTCCCCCAGGTACTGCCTGGCTGGACTGCCCGTTGGGTACCAGTTTAAGAACATCACAGATGCCGACATCAACAACCTGTTACTGGAGGAGCTCATCATCTGGACCAACTACGAGATCGAGGTGGCCGCCTACAACAGTGCAGGGCTAGGCATCTACAGCAGCAAAGTCACCGAGTGGACGCTGCAGGGAGGTGGGCAGGCTTGTGGCATTTCCCTTTCTCCCGGCTCCTGTTCCTGTGGGTCCCACACCTGTTGGGTCCTGTACCTTTGAGGTCCTATGTCTGTGGGTCCCACACCTGTTGGGTCCTGTACCTGTAAGGTCCCATATCTGTGAGGTCCCATACCTGTGGGTCCCACACCTGTGATGTCCTGTGTCTGTGGGTCCCACACCTGTTGGGTCCCGTACCTGTGAGGTCCCATATCTGTGAGGTCCCATACCTGTGGGTCCCATACCTGTGGGTCCCATACCTGTCGGGTCTCACACCTGTGAGGTCCTGTGTCTGTGGGTCCCATACCTGTCGGGTCCCATACCTGCGAGGTCCCATACCTGTCGGGTCCCGTACCTGTGTGGTCCCATACCTGTGGGTACCACACCTGTCAGGTCCCGTACCTGTGAGGCCCCATACCTGTGGGTCCCATGCCTGTCGGGTCCCGTACTTGTGAGGTCCCATACCTGTGAGGTCCACACCTGTTGGGTCTCGTACCTGTGAGTCCTGCATATCTTGGTCCTATAGCTTTGGGTCTTGTATATGTGAGTCCCATACCTTGGATCCCGTACCCGTGGGTCCTTGTACCTATGGATTCTGCACCTGTCAGTCCTGTGGGCCCCTCACCTGTGGACCCTGAGGGCCTCCACCCATGACATCTGTATTCACCAAACCCTCATGATTGCACTCTAGTCCAGCACCACCACCCTATGTGCACTGCCCCCAGGGAAAGCAGAGGGAAGATGGGATTGGGCATTGCAAAGGACAGGCTTCTGGGAAGGTTCACACTTAATGCATCCTGAGACATTTAGCATTCTGCCTAGAAACCACCCGGAACATTTGGTACCATCAAGTTTATTGCTCAATCCCCTGTGACGGTAGTCAGAGGAAGTGAAGGGCCTAAGTTTGCCTAGGAGGTGAGAGAGCACAAAGTCTGAGGCTGCAGACCCCCTTTTCTGCTTTCTCCACTTACCTGTGGAAAGGACCCCCATGACCATCCATCTCGTCCCTTCTCTCTGATCACCTACAGTGCCCACGGTCCCTCCAAGCAACGTGCAGGCAGAAGCCACCAATTCTACCGCCATCCGCTTCACCTGGAACGCACCCAGCCCTCAGTTCATCAACGGCATCAACCAGGGCTACAAGGTACCGGGGGCCTTTCCCAGTGGGGAAGCCCTAAGGTTTTCCAAGGGAGTGCTGGGGGCTGGAGAGGGACAAAGGTTGAGGAGGGTGTCCTCCCTTTTGGTTCTTAAATCCAGCAGAGAACATGTGATGAAGGCCAAGAGCACAGGGCTGTCCATGGCCACATGCAGGCCATAGGGTTTGGCACTGACCTGTCTGGGACCCAGTGCACATTTGTTCCATGAGACTGAGTCACAAACAAAATCCAGACTGTTTCAAACTCAGGGACACTTGGGCATTAGGTGTGGTGTCATCAAAAAATCCAAAAGCTTCTTCTTACCTCCAAGCCGTGGTTCTACGGGTCTCTACTGTTATGACAGGTCTCCTGGGGCTGCACCCAACACAGTGTGTTGCAGAAGCCAGGCAGACTCTGTGCGCATGCTCCTTAATCTATCTGTGCTTCATTCATTCATTCAGCACTGACTGAGCGCCCCGTCAGTGCACGGAGCTAGCTGCTACAGAGACAAATGAAGAGAAACAGAAAGCTCAGCTCCCCATGTGGAGTGGAGCTAATACAGTGGAATCCCTTAGGCCTGTCTGAAGACCAAAAGCAGTCGCTGTGTGGTAGTCGGCACTGACTGACACAAAGCAACGGCTCCGGCAATGATTTTAGTCAGTGGCTGTTGTTGCTGTTGTGAGGTGCCATCAACTCCATCCCAACTCGAAGCAACCCCTGCCACACAGTGAGATTTTCTCAGCTGTAATCTCTGTGGAAGCAGACTGCCAGAGCTTTCCTTCTCCTCTTAGTTAGCAGCCAAGCTTAATCTTTGTGCTGACAGAGCTCCTCCTTAGCCATCGTGACAGTAGAAGGGTATTAATCCGTTCTCCTGGTCCAGTTCCAACTGATGGTGATCTCAGGTTTGTCAAAGCAAAACTTAGCACCACAAGGTTTTCAATGTCTGATTTGGGGGAATTGCATCACCCACCCTTTCTTCTGAAGCACCTCTGAGTGAACTCTAACTTTCAGCCTTTAGGTTAGCAGCTGAGTGCATTGACTGTTTGCATCACCGAGGGATCCCAAAAGTGGCATAGCTCATACTACCTG